AAGAAAATATTTTCTAAAATGTTACACATTGATTTCCTGGAGTCACAAATAATTGTAACCATTATTAATTTTTCTTTGAGTCAAAGTCTCCCTATGTAGCCCTTGCTGGCCTAGAACTCATTATATTGACCAATCTGGCTTAAAACTCATCAGGATCCAACTGCCTATGCTTCCCAAGGACTTGGATGAAAAGTATGTTACTACACCAGCACCAAAATCCATTTAAAAAGAAACAAACAAAAACGTTCCCTGCTGTTCTCACACTGGCTGAAAAGCTCTTAGCCTACGTATTTTGGGTAGAAGTCTGTCATTTGATTCTATGCTATTTCTACCAGCTCATCTCCCACCCCGCATAATATGAAGGCAAGAAGTCAAACAGACTACTATCTGGAAAGGATGCTGTCACCAAATTAATAACTGCGCTGCCTTTAAGAATTAGAATCTGTAAAGCTGGAAGAATGACTCAGCAGTTAAAAGAAATCTGCAGCTCTTCTAGAGGATCCAACAATGGTCCGCAGCACCCACCTGGGGCAGCTCACAACTACCTTTGACTCCAGCTTCAGATGATCAGAGACCTTATTTGGTGTCCCAGGCACCTGAACACGAGTGGTATGCGCGCGCGCGCGCACACACACACACACACACACACACACACACGCAAACACACACAGAGAGAAAGAGAGAGAGAATAAATCTTAACAAGAAAATCAGAAGCTGCTAGATTCTTCTTAGTACCTGGTTACAATGACACTTTGATAAACCTAAGACACTCCTTTCTCCCTAAGAGCCAATAGTAAACAATGATCCCAAACATTTCAGGGACTTCTTAGACATTATAGAGTATGTTCTCTGATGGGAAAACGAGGGGCTGGATCAGTAGCTAACATGCTTGCTGTACAGGAATGAGACCCTGAGGAAGATGTAAGAACTGGGAAAAAAGTCAACACACACACACACACACACACACACACACGCACTCACGTGCATGCGTGCGCTCACGCACACAGTCCTTCATGCAATTTCTCTCCTCTGTTCTGCATATGTCAATAAAAGGTGAGGAACAATGATAGATTGTTTTTTTTGCAGTGCAACTTTGAAACATCTCACTTGAGAATGCAATATAACACTAACAGAATTAAAAATTAGTGGGTATATAAATCCGGACTAGCTGAACATAGCGGACAATGAGGAATACTGAGAACTCAAGAACAATTGCAGTGGGTTTTTGATCCTACTGCACGTACTGGCTTTGTGGGAGCCTAGGCAGTTTGAATGCTCACCTTACGAGACCTGGATAGAGGTGGGCAGTCCTTGGGCTTCCCACAGGTCAGGGAACCCTGATTGCTCTTCGAGCAGATGAGGGGGGGGGGACTTGATCGGGGGAGGGGGAGGGAAATGGGAAGCGGTTGTGGGGACGAGGCAGAAATCCTTAATAAATAAATAAATTAAAAAAAAAATTAGTGGGTATAAAAAACCCATCCATCAATCTAATCTTTCAACAAATCAAATCGTTTCCAATTTTCAGGTCATGGAACCAGTCTCTGCTTCTGAGCATGCACAGCTTTCCCTGCGGGTATAAAGGAGATTCTCCCTCCTGCCTTTCTTCACGTTATCTCATAAACATTTCACATATTGTGTGATTTTTATAACTACCATGAAAATAAATTCATTAATGGGTTCCTGTAACATAATGAATCATTTTCCCACTCTCGAACATGCTGCAATCCTTCCCCACCCCGTCTTCTCTTGCTACCAACATTTTCACTTACAGAATTTTCTGTTGCTTTTGAGGTTTCCCTCTTCACATGTATTCTCTGAATACAGAGGCAGGAATATCTGAATGGATCTTCTACTGAGAAAGTACTTTCTGAATTTCACAGTCATTAACAGCAACATGTACACCTACAATGTATACCGCGGCTTCTGCCAGCATTTCGGTATTAGCATTTTCTATTACAGGGAGGAATACTAGCTTCATAGCGGTGAAATCTTTATGATTTCATATTAATAAAATATATACTCTTTTAATCTATGTTTTATTACTATGATTGCTAAATGCTTTACTGTATGAGGTGATTATATTTTCTACTGTGGATTATCTCTGGGGTATGCCTTAGTTGGTGGCTCTTGTGAGGGCAGGAGTGTGTCGCAGTTGGAAGAGGGCTTGCCTAGCATACACAAAGCTCTGGGTTCAATCCCTACCATGACGTAGACAGGGCAAGGAAACACAGGCCTGTAATTATGGCATTTGAAAGTAAAGGCAGAGGAGCAGAAGCTGAATTTCAAGAAGACTATTTTCTTCTCTACATGGCAAATTGGGGGCCAGCTTTGGATACATTAGAAACTGTCCCCCCAAAAATTATTTATACATGTGTTTTTATACACTAGAGAATAATTGTATACTTTATTAAATACACATTTCTAATATAAGCTGTTTCTTTTTTACTTTGATATTTTAGAGCAAATATACTTGGTATTTTAATATCATTAAATATGTCAAATGTGTACCAATGTGAATTCTTCCTATTCCTTCAAAACACACAGCAATCCTACCAAATGTCTTATAGATGCAAATTCATGATTCATTATCTTTCAGTTTTTTATTTAGTCAATATGGAGCACACTTTGTCATAGCATGAGAAGAGAGTTTATATTGCTTCATTTTAAAAATTGTTAATTGTATGAATATTTATTAAAATCCTCCTCCTTAGCATTTGATATCAGTTATTTTCTTTATATTAATTTCTTGCATATACAAAGTGAAAATTCTCTATACTTTGCTAGGTAAAGCATCACAGGAAAAAACCCAACTCTATTGCTGTGAGTGATAATTTGATATCTGGAATGGGTTTTCAACATTAGGTCTTCTCTTTACTTGTGTTCATTACAATGAGTCATTGTATTTGAGGCCTCTGGTTTCTGTCACACTGTCAATCCTGGGCTACGCCTTCTTTTTAAAAATATCTTCTTATAATTAACTTATTTCTCAATATATCGTTTTTGTTTTCTTTTTGAGACAGGGTTTCTCAGTAATTTCCTGGCTGTCCTGAAATTCACTCTGTAGACCAGGCTGGCCTCTAACTCAGAGACCCACCTGCCCCCGCCTCAGTGCTGGGTTAAGGGTGTGCACCACCACCACCTGGCTCATTTCACCTCTTAAAACAACCTACTTGATGGTTAATCGGGACTTGACCTCTGTTATCATAAACCAATCCAGAGAGCATATATAACTTTATATACAAAGATATACTATGCATCTTGATTAAATCTTTTGTAATAAACAATCAATACTATTTTTAAAGATGACATTTGTATTATTGTATAGTGAAGGAGCTGAGAGAGATAACGGGAAAGATAAAAACTATGCTGTGAGACACGCGCAAACAGCTAAGCTCAAGTTGTGGACACTCTTCGCTCTGTCACCAGTACCGTGACCACGTCTCCAGCAAAGATTAGGTAATATCAGAATCCATGGTGCAGCGTGTGCATGATATGAACACCTCACCTGCCATGTTTGATGAAGCTGATGTTGCCTTCATCGCTGATATCAAAGCCAGAGGTCCACATACCTCTTTCACATCAGAAGCACAAGCTCACCTCGTAACCTCATGATATGTACAAATCATGTGCTGTTCCCACGGTTTATTAATTTTCTGCTTTAACAGTTGTAACATCTTTTCTTACTTTCCATTTATTTCAGATTGCTCGGAGGAATATTGCCAATTATAGCATGTACACCTCAGGCTCAATGTTTATGGAGCTCTTTATGGTCTCTTTTTAAAAGTTTGAATCATTGCTTGTTTTTTTTTCCCCCTAACGGAGGCTGTCACCATTCTAAAAGCAAAGAGATGTTTGAGATTCACATATTAATAATATCAGCTAATAAAACAAACAAGGCTGGCAAGATGGTTTAGTGGGTAAAGGTGCAAAGCACCAAGCATGGGGACCTGAATTTGAGCCCTGAAATCCACAGGGTGGAAGGTGAGAATCAACTCCCACAGATTGTTCTCTGCCCTCCACCTGTGCACGGCTTCATGCACACGCTGCCCCCTCACTGTACACAAAGCCAATAATACATACATGTAATAACCAAAGAATGCAGCTTAACAAAACAAAAGACAAAGGGCCATGCATTTGAAGTAGAACAAGGAGAAATTCAGGGGCGGGTTTGGAAGGAGGAAAGGGAAGAAGGAAATGATGTAATTCTTATAGTGTAATCTCAAAAGACAGTTTTACAAAAGCCCGGCTGTTTATCATGATATTCTTTTGTTGTTGTTGTTTTGGTTTTTTGAGACAGGGTTTCTCTGTAGCTTTGGAGCCTGTCCTGAAACTAGCTCTGTAGACCAGGCTGGCCTTGAACTCACAGAGATCCCCCTGCCTCTGCCTCCCAAGAGCTGAAATTAAAGGCAGGCATGAGCACACATCCTTATTTTCACCTCAGTGGACTTTGTAACGCACTGGGTGCAAAAGAAGTACCTGGGAAGGGGCTGCAGCTGGGGAGAACTTGGAGCCTCTCACGCTTCAGTGTGTGGCCGAGCAAACTGTTTCCTAACACCGCCAACACTTTGCACTAGCATACGCAAAATGCGACCTTTCATTTCCTCCCGGATCGTTTCGGCTACGCGGATATGCCTGCTTCCCTACCGTCAGTTCATGCCTTACTCCATATTTCCCATCTGTGCCCCGTGTACTATATGCTTCCTTGAAGAGCTGGAGGAAAGCCACGTTTGCCAACTCAGTGGGCTAACAGGACCAAATAAAACACTGCTAACTCTGCTTACATAATGGAATCCACTGAGGTGTGTCTCAAAACTATCTCGTTTTTATTTGATTTTTCTATTTCACTGATTACTGAAATTTAAAAACACACGCCTAGCCATAAAGGTAAACATGAAAATGACCAATACTACACAAGATTTCCTCCCCCGCCCCCGCTGCCCCGCCCCCTCGGCAGAACCTGATAGCAGCTCCGGAAGCGGTTCTGGTACACGGGTACTCACGGGTGAAGTGATTGGAGGTGGACGGGTTGACGCTGTCCCCGCTGTCAGCGCTCTCACTGCTGGAGACTTCGTCATCTGATTCCCGGGCAGAGGAGCAGGGCGAGGAGGCGTCCACATCTTCAAACTTCCTTTTTAAGATTCCACTCATAGCTGCAGCGTTGTCACATGTACCTGGAGCGGGAAGGAGCAGCCAAATGTTGAAATGTGACTGCGGACTGTGGGGCCAGCGTTTCCCATCAGTTTCTCATGTGACTTGGCTACATGGGCTGAGCTGTAGCTGTCCCATGAAAGTATCACGAAGCAGATTTCTTTTTCTATTTCAAGTTAACAAAAAAAAACAGGGTGAAAATTAATTGGAGTCCTTGACACTTCAGTTAGTCCAACATTTCAATGCTTTTCGAATGTCTTTAAGAAATAGTTCAGGAAGGCAGCGGTGGCCCATGCCTTTAATCCCAACACTTGAGAGGCAGAGGCAGGCCGATCTGTGTGAGTTCGAGGCCAGCCTGGTCTACAAGAGCTTGTTCCAGAACAAGCTCCAAAGCTACGGAGAAAACCTGTCTTGAAAAACAAAAACAAAAACCAAACAAGAGCCGGGCGGTGGTGGCGCACGCCTTTAATCCCAGCACTCGGGAGGCAGAGGCAGGCGGATCTCTGTGAGTTCGAGACCAGCCTGGTCTACAGAGCTAATTCCAGGACAGGCTCCAAAGCCACAGAGAAACCCTGTCTTGAAAAACCAAAAACACCAAAAAAGAAAGAAAGAAAGAGTTCGGCTTAATGCAGTACCGTTTGTCTTTTTGTTGGCAAAATAAGAAAATCCACTTGAGTTCATGGAATTCTGTTTAAAAAAAAATAAAATGGCAATGCCCCCAAAGTCAGAAGTGATTACTGCTCTGTGCAAAATCCATCTAGGAGAAACACTGAAAGTAGGAAGCAAATTTTTTATCTTTAGAAAATTTCAAATTCAAGGAGCCTAGTTAGCAGAGCATAATGAAGCATATGAAATCAATTCTGAATTTTAGGTGGTTTCCATTTTAAAGCTGCTGCAAGATGAACTTTGTCCCCATGCTACCTGATTGTTGAAGCTGCTGTTACCTTTCCAGAAATTCCCTGAGGCTCTGAGGCTGGCGACTGAACTGAGTGAAGCCACAGAGTGACCAGCAGACATGTCTCCTTCTAAATCATTTGCTTTGCATGAATGAATTTTCTCTTCCTGGGGGGCCTGCTTAGCCCTCATCATTCCTCTTTTACCTTGACAACCAGTTAAAGGATACCAACTTTCTTCTCAGTATAGTGATAGTTTAGTAAATATATTAGCTCAGGTATTTCAGTACGATCTCCCTTTGAGAAATTAAAAGTTAACTTAGCCCAAAATATTGCAAGTTGATTCGAGACATTTGAACTCTCGCGTAAGTTCTCCCCGTCACACACAGCCGTCAGTCAGTCTGGTAGATCAAGAGGGAACGAGTCCCTTAAAATTATTTTAAAACCACTCATTTACGTGATCTCAGAACTGCTCTCAGAAATCTCGGAAAACCACCCTTGGCCTGTGCAGATCACAGCATAAGCGCCTGCTCAAATCCCCTGGGCTGACCCGGCTTTCGCCAGTCTGATCTGAGTTCTCAAAGTGCACTAGCTGAAAACAGTAGCAGCGGTGCAACCTGGGAAAGAGACGCTCAGCAATGCATCTTTCGATGTCTGAGCCAGCTCTACCAACTTGGAAAGACGCAGGCATTAGAGTCTTTTGCGAAGCAACAGGCGGGCATCTCTGAGACATCTGAGAAACCCTTGCCAAATGTTCACTTTGTGTTCCGGCACCTTCTTTCTTGGATTTTACTCTCCATGAATGTGTTGGACACAACTCGGTGCCCAATTTCAGGTCAATTCTCTGGCCACCTCTGGTGTGACTTTTAAGAAAATCAAACATTGACGTTAGATGCATCATGTCTTTTTTCTTAATTTCAATTTAATCCTTCTAGGAAAGGGCCGAGTAGCTGATATATTTATGTTTAACTCATAGAGTGGAGAAATTTTTTTCTTAAAAGGTAAAAGCAAGCTACCTGCTGTCGGAGCAAGGGATCACTCTGAAGGGCTCCTTCAAATAGCAAAACACCTCAAAATTAGTTAACAGCTTTATTAAATGTTCAGCTTCTGCCTGATTGAATTAGCTATGGAGATAGCTGATAGCCACAGGAAAACATATCTCTGTCCATTCTCCTGAGAATAAAATCTCTATTCTTCTCTCATTTTACCACTATTCAGATTAGCCTATTATTTTCTTCATCTCAAAGGGTGTGAAAAGCATAAAATGCTCATGCATATCTGAGCCAGAAAAGAGGGGGGAAAAGGATATTTTAAGTGGAGTCTTGAAATAAAAGTAGGACAGGATATAAATTTTAAAATGATTTCACTTCAAGCAAGATGCAAAGCAATTCATGAGGGAGAGACTCCCAAGACACAAAATAATACGAGATGGAAAGCTACGGTCAAGACACACATTTCTGTAACAAGATACAGCAATGGAAGCCATTACAGCATCACTGCGGAGTTTTACTCCCTTCACACCCAGCTTCTTAAGCAGGTTTGGATTTCCCAAAGTCGAGGAACAGGAAATCTCTCAACAGGGAGCCCGGCCCAAGCATCATCTAAGTTGGCCGTGGGCGCTCCTCTCTCCTATCTCAGTCCCTCTAGCAGGAATTGTTGATAAGATGAAGATCGACATTTTTGCCTTTCTTTGTTAGTTCATTTCAGACAAGAACCACAGTGATGGAGTTAAAGGCTGGATGCAGTTTCTGTCTTAGAGTCTGGGAACCGAAGGGCGTCTGCTGAACAAAACACAGAGGACATGGGCAACAGGTGGCTTAGTGGGGCAGCATCTCCTGGGAAGCTGGTTGAGGGCCCAGCTCCCCTGCGCAACAATGAAGTGGGCTGGATATCTGTCTTCTCTCACTATATGGGCATATCAGACTATGGAAATGAGATGGGAAGGACAGGAATGGTCCACTCCTTTCTGGTGTATAAGCTCTGACATATTTAATAGAGTGGAAAAGGGAGATGCAATCACCTCCTTTTTTATCTCTCTGATCTTACTAGGAGAAGGGAGAGTACACAAATTTAGGGAGGTGATATTGTTAGCGTGTGTTATCTGCCAACTTGTTATCCCCCAGGTGGCCCATCTCAGAACAATCTGTGGCTGCACAGACACAGATTCAGGTGATGACAATGGATGTTCATCCTACCCCTATCATTGCTCCCTAAAAGCACATACTCTACGTTTTCCTTAAAGGATGAGACACAAACCGGATGGTTCACAAAACAGGAAAGGATGGACATTTCAGGTAGGTTTTACACAGAAGGAAAGGCCAAAGAACAGTTGGGCAGGCACTGATTTATCCTGAACGTAAGAGAGTGGGAAGCTAGAGTAGCTATTTTTCTCAGCCATCTCTGTCCAGTTCAGAAGACGTGCCAGTCCCAGGCACTATCGCTACACTTGGACTGGGGAAAATGCCCATCATTCTCCTCTCCTTTGAGATTTTTCTTTGCATTTGAGCTACTTTCCTAGTTACAGGCAGAATGAGAAATTTAAAATACAAAAACCATCATCATACCAGTCTGACGCTTAAAACTCCAAAATGCCTTCAGGTCATCTTACAAGTTCAAATTCCCCAGTGCCTTTAAAAACTCAACCTTCTAGCTTGACCAGCTATGTCATTGATTTGGGGGCCTCTGCTTCACTGATATTTCAGTTCTAAGGATGTTTCAGCGCCTTAAACCTTGTACTTCTCTGTCTTCTAAGTTACTTTGGATAACTGTCCTCTTAACTACATTTTCGTCTTTTTCTGCAGCGTTTACTACTTTCCAAATCTCTAACTGAATCTATGAGTCTCTACATGTGTTAGCATTTTAGCCTCTGATAACAGAGAGAAGGAGAGGATCCTTGGCTTCCTTACTGATGTTCCGTGGTTAGAAGAGCACCTTCTATGTGACAGGTACACAGTGGATGCATGTTCACATTCTGAATGAAATCCCTCACTTCTAAGCCTTAATTACGATGTTTGCCCTTCTAGACTGAAAACTCCAGGAAGGGAAAACAGGTATTCACCCAATTCATGGATCCATGTCCTGTAACAACACAGCTGGAATATTTGATTAAATGTGCATCCAAATGAGATGAAACCAACGTCAAAATGTTCCCTCACTTATGAAGCCAATTATAAGCAGGACATGCCCAAAAGGTACTTTCAAAACTCCCGGACCGGTTCACCCAATGCAAGATGAGATGGGAAAAAAGGAAACTTGCGATCATAGCATGACCAGAGTCAGGGCTGCAGAGTCTTTGATATCTTGGCTCAGCTTTGCGGTCACTATGACTAGGGTCCAGTAACTTGTCAGCAGGTCTCGTAGCTTGAATTCAATGTTCCAAAAACTGATTTATTTCGGGGATCTACTGGATCAGGGATGTTGGCCTCTAATCAGACAATTTCTTGATCAGCTGGCAGAAAGGAGATGGATACTAATCCAGGGGCTCTCATGTGGAAGGCAATTCCGACTGAAAGCCAGTGTCCTGCTACCTGATACGTCTTTTCATTTATTATCATAGCCTAGAATTTAGTTGACTAGATGCTTAACCTAGTTCCATTCTCTGTTTGTAAAACTTCTTATCTTTGACACACGGTCTCACTCTATAGCCCTGGCTGACCTGGAACTCTTTTACCCAGCTAGCTTGAAACTCAACAGATCCACCTGCTTTTGCCTCCAAGTGCTGTGGGTTAAAGTCTCATGCAATCACATCCAGCAACAACCCCTTATTTTGCTCCCAAATCTAATTAAGAACTGCTTTATGTTAAAACATTAACAAACATGTTTACTAGCATACTGTTCTTAAGTTATATAAGCTATTTATTTTACATTGTATTCGATATAAGTACTGTTCAGACTTCTATGAACACACTGATGAAAACGCACTCTGAAATAATAATTTAGAAAAAAATAAATGTTATTCCCCTTAACATATTTCTAACTTACTTACATAAGAAAGAGCGTGGGGAGATCCAAGGGGGAAAAAAAACCAAAAAATATACCTTAACAATAAATAAATAAACCCCATTCTAATGAGGACCAGGCTATCTAATAAAATGTGGCACTCTAGAATTTAAAATTTAAGATTTAATAAG